CCCCACGCTGCTTCACCACCCTCGTGGTCGGCCCTCCTCATGGTCGGTCCCTTCACTCGGCCACCCCTCATGGTCGGTCCCTCCACTCGGCCACGCTTCGCGATCGGTCCTCCTCATGGTCAGTCCCTCCACTCAGCCATCCTTCGTGGTCGGCCCTCCTCATGGTCGGTCCTCTTCATGGTCGGTTCTTCCACTCGGCCGCCTTGCGCGGTCGGCCCTCCTCATGGTTGGTCAACCCTTTCACAACCCTTATTTTCTTCATTATTCTCTTCGTTGGACTAGAGCTGCACTTGGAAATAGGGGACTACTGACATGGGTAGGCCCACAAAGGCTATAGCCCATTATGAACAACCCAAGCCTACCACTTAGGGCCTAATACATAATTCAATTAATGAAGCCCAGCACTGCTGAAGCCCCACACAGCAATAAGAGCCAATGGCATCAAGACACATGGCAAGAGAAGGGCAAGCCACATCAGCAGATAAAGATCTACAAAGTTATTGCCACGGCACATCGCCATTAATGAGGCCCCTTACAGCATTTATTACGATATCCCCTCTCCGTTGGGACGGCACGCCCTCACCCTGAACAAGGTAAACTACAGCATAGACTTTCAGCCAAGGTGACAGGTCAGAAGGGACAACGAAATGATTACCAGAGGATATAAGCAGATGTCGAAGACAGGAAGAAGGTTAAACTTTTCTATCTCTACTCCATCTCTACACTCCACTTCTCTCTCTCTAACTTGCTTGTCGGAGGGTTCGCTGGGGGACTCCCCGTTCCCCGTTGAACTCTTGTACAGGTCTTCAGGTGGGCTTGGTCATTCGGACATAGGCTTACGGAGCATGGATCAGTCCGACCCGTTCTACCATCACGAACTGTATTATCAATTACCAAAAAGTCCTGTCTACATATTTGGTGGTAGCTTAGGTCCTGTCAAAAAGTTTTTGAACCAATAAGTCTCATTTATAGGTAAAAAGACATTTTGCCCTTTAATCCCAAAACTGATAATGTTCTTAATTTCAAAACTGAGAATGTTCTCAATTTCAGAACAAATAATGATTTCTTTTTATAATTATCAAAACTAAGAAATTTTTCAAATTTTTTTCTAGTATTAACTAGGAATATTATTAGTTTTGAGAAATTTCTCAATTTTTTTCATGATTAAAATTGAGAATATTATCAATCTACTCTCTCTCTCTTACATTTACCTTCTCCACTGCTCCAATGGTTGGAGATGCACAGGTATAGGGAATAGGATAGGGGAATTTGGGAACAGAGATGAAAAGTAATTCTATTTACCTTTCCCTTGTTAAATTTGGAATCCAAACACAACCATACTAGTCACAAATTAAGCAAAATAAGCAAGACAACTATAACAATCAACAAAGTATGAGACATAAAAAATAAAAAAATAAAAAAACCAATGTGAATCCATTGAAGCTTCCTGAAAGATGGAATTACCTGACCATCATACCACCCGGTCTCTTCATCTGCAAGAACAGAAACACAGAGAGAATTTACTCAATCAATCAAAAACCCAAAACTCAAAAACAAAATAATCAAACAAAAACCAACTCAGAGAGAGAGAGAGAGAGAGCACACATTCAACAGTGGCACTGAGCAATTGATTGCCCACATAAACCCAACCCAGATACATCATAAAAATAGCGACAGTAACCACAAAGAGTCCACTCGAAACGGCGGCTAAAGCCGGCTTGAGTGGCTCCGATTAAGCACCGGCAAGAGAGGCCGACGAAGAGAGCAAAGGAAGCGCCGGTGACAAACAAGCGAAAACAATACTCAACTAAGTTGAGCTTCAATCAATGACGAATCAAGACCCAGATTACCCTTGTGAACTCGAATCACCTATGTCCGTCGAACTGAAGTTGCATAGAACTTCGAATTGCAACTGTGGGGAGAGAGAGAATGAAGACAACAATGGATGTTTGGCAGCTATGGAGGAGGTCTTGGATGGGTAAATTGGTCTGTTAAAAATTAATGAGACTTGAAGGAGAAAATAATTTTATCTAGGACTTAATGGATTATAAGTTCACAAAATGGGACTTGTATGTAAATGCCCCTAAATTATATTTTACTTTTAAGATTACTATTAAATTCTATTAAGTTTTAATATGGATAACTAAATTCTATATTTCATAACATATTTTCAAAAAGTTCATTGCTCCATAATGGTAGATGTTATCTCAATTTTACCCCTCATTTAATATGAAAATACTTTTGCTCTAAGTAAAATAATATTTGTTAATTGTAAAAATTATGATATTGTATTAAAAAAATCATAAATCACAATAAAAAATTTATCAAAAAGTTTTGCTTTGTTTTGAAAATTATTATTGAGTTGTATCAATAATAACCTTGAGGTTATGAGTTTAAATCTCGAAAAACTACTTTGTGCACTATGCTAAAAATTAGGTGTGCAACCAATCTTTCTCCTCTTAAATACGCATTAATGTGTACTAATTGAGCGTTATTTTATCAAATTTCAATATTAAAATAATTATTATTTTATAAATTATTATATGTAAAGAAATTTCAATTGTTCATAATAGTATAGTATAATTTATTTTCATTTTATCTTTTTCATTAAAATATGAACAAAAAAGTTCATAAATAATTTAAATTTATTAGAAAATTTATAATTAAACTATTTTTGATTGTTCAAATTAAATGATTTTCATAAAAAAAAAATATAAGTATAAGATTAATAATTTGTACAATTAAAATTTTAAATTTTAATTAAGTTAAAATTATTTATAAAATTATTGTTTATATTAAGCCCTTGTTTGACATAAGATAAACGGAGGCTTTTTAGCTAAAATAGTCACAAAAAGATAAAATAAATTTTTTAGTTTAATAAGACAAAATGACACATCCAAATTATAATCATTTTATTTTTTTTTTACAAAAGTCAAAAAAATTAAAAAAATAATATAGAAATATATCAAATCTGTGACATTTGTACCAAGAATCTTGTTGACTTTACATAGAGCTCGTCCTATGTCCACACTTTGACAACAAGGGTTTTTATTTAATTTATTTAATTTTATTTTGTTTTTTAAACAGAACAAGGATTCTTGGCTGTCATGTAGTTCTTATTTTGGTTATTTTTTAAAGGTGATTTACCCCCATCTCCTTTGAAGTTTCAATAAAATACAGATAATTTTATACTTTAAACATAATTATAATAAAGTTAAAGAAGTCAAAAATAATGTAAATAGTAAGTAGATATTGAAATAAATAAAAATAAATATATATTTTAATTGAAAAGAGATGACAATATTTTTTTTTTACAAATAAAAAATGATTTAACTATTATATAAATTAAAACCTAAAAAACAAGTATAATTATATAAAAAAAAATGTAGGACTAGTATTTTCTCAAACTTTAAGAGAGTTGATTTTTACCTTTTAATTTTTATTTTTTTATGAATGACTGAAAATATTCTTAAAATTAAAGTTACTTAAATATTTTTGAAAAATTACAATTTAGTGTAAATTTTAAAAAATAAATTTAGATAAATGATAAATTTTATAATTATTAATAAATAAAATTTAAAATTTTTTCATGAATTGTAATTATTTTCTAAAAGTATAACTGACTCATAATTCTTCCAATATTTTTTAAGAGAATTAGGTTCCGTTTGTTTCAATATAAAATATTTTACACAAAATATTTTCCATGTAAAACTTTTGTAAAATAATTTTAGAAATCTTTTTTTCTGATGTTTGGCAATGAACCTAATAAAAAATTCAACAAAGGAGAAAAAATAATTCATTACAAGGCTCACTGTGCAAATAATGATAAATTGATCCTTCATTGCAAGCCTAACAACTCAACTGGCTTGAACAACAACACATTGATGAAAGCATGGGTAGTAAATTAACTTTCAGAAATCAAATTCGCAAGTCAATTTCCTTCAATTTGTTAGAAAATATTTTACCTACTTTTTAGCTAACCAAATAATAAAAATAGATAAAATATTATTAAAAAAATATTTTACAACAAAACAAATGAAATGTTAATAAATACCTATAAAATTTTAAAAATAATAGCCCCCAATCAAGTTGCTCCATTGACAACCTCAACCATGGATCTAAGGCAATGTTTAATTAACCATTTATATGATTAGTATAAAATTGATTATTGAACTCAATTAGTGAAATAAATAATCATCTCTTAGTTATGTTTATTTTTGCAATAGATAGATATAAAAAATATAATACTAATTATATATTTATTTTGCAACATTAAGTTTAAGATTAAAAAATCATTAACTTTATTAGATAGAATGTCCATTAGAATCCAATTTGAATAACAAAAATTAAAACTAATCACTGAAATGTTCATGAAATGTGAACCCTATGAACTAATAATTTCAATCCTACAAACTCAATCAAAACATGCCCAAACTCTACTATTTTATGGTTTTACAATTTTTTATTTTTTATTTTTTCTTTTGGGCCAAAAAAATTTGTAACATCTATCAGATTTAACCAATAGATATTTTTATACTTACATGGTTACTTGAAGATTGAGAAAGGTTGAAGAAAAAGCTTAAATGGCAACAAAAAATTGTATCACTAGCTCAATTCCTAGTAATTTACAGTTCATTTGATCAATCTCAAGATTTCAAGTCTTTGACGCAATCAATCTACACTACTACAATCTTCATTTTAAATCTCAACTGAACGTGCTTTTGGCACCTTTAATCCAGTTAACCGACAATATTTTTCAGTTCCAAATCAATCTTTGCGTAGTTTGGGTGGTGACACCCCAATGTGGAGAACAGGATGGCATGTTCAACGAGTTTCATTTCAAGATAATTTTTGTTATTTTCACATTTTCTTTCTCTCGGTTTATCTTATTAAAGAGAAGGACTAAACAACCCAAAAGATACCAATTTCGAAGCTGGAGTGATCTGGTTAGTTTAGTAGAGTCTGATTCTCATACATCAAAGACGGAATAAGAATCAGAATTAGAATCAGAATCAGTGCATTAGCATAGAAAAACACATCTCCCAAAAAAGGAGAAGGTATAAATCAAAGATTAAAAATTTACACAAGATTAATGACTGAAAGTGCAAAGATGTAATTTACAAAAAAGAACCAGCTCGACAGCTACTACTAACATACATTTTTCTCCCTAGCAACACCCAAAAAACTGATTCTCATACCGCCTTAAACATGCACAACAAATATTTTCCTTCCTTTGGACGGGAATACAGGTAAGCTTAAGGGATTGCATCTTCTGAAAAGCAAACACCAAAATCCATCAGATGTAGGAACTTAATAATTCCATGTTTGTGGTTAAATTAGCATCAATTCCGGCTGAAAATTCTTGGTTGTAGCATTATTTTATGACAATTCATGCACCTTCCTTAAAGTTAAGATAAAATGTGGAAAAACAACTCCCAAATTTCACTGTTCAATATTTTTTACAACAGAAATAAAGATAATATGACTCGGCTACCAATCATATATGTTGGGTAGTGCGGACTTTGACAAGGGTATTTTTTGTATTCGTAGTTGTTTGTTATCCTACTATTATGTATTTATTGTTTGCATCTCTTTGTATTGTATTATAACTCTTTCAAATCATAGTGAACTTGCAATTAACATGGACATAGCCCTATTCTAGTGTTAACCACATAAATCTTTGTCATTCGTGTCTCACCGATCCTGGTAGGTGTATCAATTCCTAACAACTGGTATTAGAGCTCTAGGTTTGAGTGGAACTGACGGCCACAGCCCAAGGAAAAGTTAGAATCGCTGAAGTCACTCATGTATATTTTGGTTTCTGGAAGATGTAATTTGAAGATTATCTATATCAGAAGAAACTATATCAGCCTCTTCAAGAACATATGCCTGAAGGGATGAAAGACAGTGGAATCTCCCTGACAGACAGGTTAACTTTGGCTCATAATGTTGCATTCAACATAGTGAAGGGACAACGACAACAGGTTTTTCAAAGCCCTATTGAACATGTATGAGAACCCTTTGCCTCGAACAAAGTGTATCTAATGTGTAGGCCGGTTAACCTTGAGATGGCAAAAGGTGGGTCAGTAGCTGAACCTCTGAATGAGTTCAACACAATCACAACTGAAAAGTTGAAATGTTGTGCAAATGAATGGCAACCAAAAGTTTGAAGATCTAACATTTCTTCACAACATGATTGAAAGTAGAGAAATCTATTGAGAAGGTACTCACCAAGAGGAGCTCGATGTATATATTATAATGGATGCTCACTTCAACTTGAGATTGGACTTGAGTTTTCTCAGCTCCTCACCTTGACGCTAAAATCAATTTAAAATAATCAGGTTCAACATCATGAAGGATATCATGATGGAAATACTATTGGCAATATGTTTTGAATGTAAGGGGATATCGTTTCATACCTTGTACAACAGCTTCCACCAACGGTCAGATCTCGACTGTAGTAAGCGCCATTCCATTGCCATCTCATATTCAATTGTGTTAGGCTGAGAACAATGTGACGTAGATACAGCTTCTTTCTGCACAAAAAGAAGGCACACCAATGTTACCCAGAGAAACAGAAAAGACATAAAATGTCTAAACAAAAAATGGAAATGCAATTGCGCCGCACGAATGTGGTAGTCGTCTTCAGTAAAACAGAGAGGTCTAATGAATCATATCATACCATCTCCCTTTGCATTTGGTGTTTTGATTTATCAACGAACAGATGGCCAGTGAATGTGGACTGCTTTCCCAGAAAACTAGGAGGAGGTGCCATGCTACCAACAAGAGGCCTGCAAATAAAATTTAAAAAAAAAAACCATGGGAAGTGGGAAACATACAGCAGCAAACATTAGGCGGTAATAGGAAACTTTAGAAGCACAAAAACTTTTTTCAAACATACAGTAAATGTATTTGCGGGATCACCAACCAAGGCTAACATCCAGATACTTCAGTTATCAAACCATCAAATGGTTTAAATCGTTTGATTTAATTTTTTTTTAATGTGCAGACTGACATGGTTGATTCCTACTTCTCTGGGCTGTGCAATAAAAAGTTTAAAATTTCTTAATTATATTATTTTTCCCTTCAAGTTCCTCAAGCTTATTAGAATTTTTAATCATGACTTTAGAGTTCAATTATGGTTGATCCAATGGTAAACTATTAACCCTTAACCCAGTCACTTTTCTAGTTCAAATCAATGGCAGGGTTCAAAATAGTGGGCATTGAATATAGGGGGATTTACTTTACAGTGAAACAAACAAAAAAATATACACAAACATGGAGGGGTGCAAGTGAGACTTGCACCCTCAGTGTTTTTCACTTGCACCCCACCACAAAACAACTTGCACCCTCCATGTTTTGGCAATTTTATTTTTTCTAGTCCCACTGACAAGTAATTCTCCCTTGGCAAAACTTCACTTTACACCTTGTAGGTCATGTGTAAATAACTCATTGGCATTTGAAAATAACCACTTGACCCAAGTGGTTTGTGAACTAAAACGCACCATCACATCTTCCATCCTAATTAATGGAAGTGCATTACACGTGCCAAATGACATGGTGGTTATGTGCACATAACCTAAGCGAGGGCTTTAGTTTAGAATAGAGAAAGAAGATGAGGGTATTTAAGTCAATTCACAAGTGTCATTAACAAAAGTTAGTGGTGCATTTTAGTCCATCAACCAATGGGATTAAGTGATTATTTCCAAATTACAAGGGCTATACATCAACTTCCCTTAATGCATTCCATGTGTGTACTAGACACCTGCATAGTTATTAAAACTGATAGACTCAACTAGAATACTTCTTGTGGTGAATGAGCCAAGTTCGTAAATCGTGTCCAAATTAACTGATTTAGTTCAATTCAGGCTGGTCAAATTAAACAAATTTTCATTTATTTTTATTTTTTACTCTCTTTTTGTTTGCTTTTCTTGGAAGTGATTCAAAGGGATTAATGAGTTGGTTGATCTTGATAGAAAGATAGATGAATGGGTAAGAAATCATTAAATATTGCAACCAGAAGGGAAAGGTGCTTTAAGAAGAACAAGGATGCAGATTGGGGGAGAATAGTAGGCGACAAAGAGTTCTAAATGGTCGAAGCATCACCCTTATGGTGGTGGGATTGCACCAAAAAAGCATGTCAGTGCCTCTTTTGTTTTCATAGATGAGTTCCAGAAAGAATTGAAGGAAATGCATCCAAAAGTTATATTTGTTGTTGCTATTGATATGGCCAGAGGGGATAAGTGGAAATCAATGTCAGAAGATGCAAAAGCACCTTTTATAAAAATGGCGAAGTTTTGATGCTTTTTAGTAGGAGGGTAGATGTTCTCGCTTGTAATTGGGTCGTTGGGTTTATAAATTTACCTACCAAAAAACGAGATGCTGAAGTGAGTAAGACCCTTTTCCGATATATTAGATTAATTATCCGTCAGGACATTGCCTATATACTAAAAAGCATGATGAATGAAATGGAAAAGTACTTTGGAAATGTTATGTGACCATAAAATTCCCGAAATGTGGAAAGCAAAATCTTGTAAAGAAATTATAAAGGTCACTTATGGTGTGCGGTTCACAAATCGAAGACTGTTTGGTCTGTTTCAAAACAACATTTACAAAATTGAGAGTTTCCAAAATGGGGCCGTTAAGATAAATAAAAGGTTTTGCAAGAAAAGCATAAAATACAATGTATGTTTCGTTGTTACAAATAACACCAACTTAAAATCATTTGAGATGTTTTGGCCATGCGCAATGTAGGCTGACACACCAAAATACAAAAGAGACAAACTAATCTAAGTTGGAGGTGTCAAAAAGTATGGGTTAGGGTTGTGACAAATGACATGATTCTGTTGAACTTAACTGGCGATATGGCTTTCCATAAAGTTAATTAGAGGATACAAATAAACAATTGTTTTGTTTTTTAATAGGTATATAAAATACATTAAAGGCACATCAATACACTAGGAAACTACCCAAAAAAACCCAACTACAAAAGATAATTCTCATAAAAAAATTAACAAAAGAAAGAAGAGTGATTAAAATTTGCTTCATGCCAAAAATGAAGGCACTGTAAAAGAGTTGACCTAAGTATTGCCATCTACACATCCTTAAAGGTATGACGTTTTTGTTCACTCCAAATGCACCACCACATCAAACACGAGTGCCACCCTCTTCAATTCTTATCTTTCTTCCCCAAATTATCCAATGTCAAGATAGAGTAGAAGAATGCACTGTAAGCAAAATAACACCTTTGCCCGCACCATTAGGTTTCCAAACAAAAATATCTTCACTTGCAATTAGGCCAACTCCATCATAAAGGAGCTGAAAAATTCATTCACTTCATCTAATTTCCATCCTGTATGAGGTCCCATATAATAATCGCATCAATGATCCTCATATATATAATCTAAAGACTGAAGCATTCTATCCACGCAACACTAACCTGATTAGCAAAGGTCACTGATAATGAAATATCCTTGCACCACATATCATGCCAAAATTTGACTCCCCATTGTATCTACAATTACAAATTTCACATGAGATAAAAACTCTGGACATCCTTTCCTAATTCCCTTCCACACACCAATCCCATAGGACACCAAAGCATCCTTAGATGTTCACCCTCCCACTTGATAACCATATTTACATTGAATATCCCTACATCAAAGGCATTTGTCCACTAAAGAATGTCTCCACAGTTATTTTTCCTACAACTCCTGATTGAAGTATCTAAAATGCGTAATCCACATGCCCCTTCTAATATTGTATACGACACCTAAGTACTAATCCACAACCCTTCGAAGCTTCTTCAACCACTATCGCTGAGACTGGGAAAGCGAATATAAGCATAAAAGGGTAAATTACGCTAACGGTGCCTATAGTTTGAGGCTTGTGTCCTTTTGGTCCCTAACTTTTCAATTGTAAGACATTTGACCATGAGTTTTGAATCTTGTTCCAAAATAAAGACAATTAAAGATACCATTTGATTTTTTAAGGGCAAAACCGTCAATTTGATAAAATATAACTAATTTGACAAAAATAAATATCAAAAAAATATTTTGAAATTTTTAAAAATTATTTCTACCCACTAAAGATAAAATTATGTAAAATTGAAAAATCTTTCAAACATTTATTTATTTTACCAAATTAATTTTTATTATGTGTTTGGATGATAATCATGTAATGGGTGGTTGTTTTTGTTTTCATTAAATTAGTTTATATTTTTTCAAAAGTCAAATATGGCGACAACTTTGATATCATTATTAAACCAATTCATTAAATCAAAAAAAAAATCCAAAACTAAAAATATTTCATATATTAAATGTATTGATTACACATTAAAAGTTTAACAACTACCCATTACATAATCATCATCTAAACATATAATAAAAATTAATTTGGTAAAATAAATAAATAAATAAATGTTTAAAAAATTTATCAATTTTACATAATTTTCTCTTTGGAGTGTAGAAATAATTTAAAAATATTTAAAAATATTTTTTTGACATTTATTTTTGTCAAATTAGTTTATATTTTATCAAATTGACAATTTTACCCTTGAAATTAAGCAATGTTATCTTCAATTGTCCTTATTTGGAAATAGATTCAAGATTCAAGATTCAAAATTCAAGGTCAAATGTGTCACAATTGACAAGTTAGGGACCAAAGTGACACGAATCCCAAACTATAGGGACTATTGGTGTAATTTGCCCAAGCATAAAAATACGAGCAAGCTACCTAAAGTGCTCTTCATGAGATTGCCTTCATTCAAAAGGTATTGCCTTCTCCATGCTACCAATCTTTTCTCCACTTGCTCAATAAGACTATCACAAATAATTGTGGGGTTGAAAGAGGATCCTAAAGGCAACCCAAATTAAGGATTGAGAGGAATCCACCAGCTATGTTACATGGACTCTTTGAAATTTGGGAGGTACCTGTGTCGACACGACAGAATACGACACGACACGATACGACAAGGGTGCGGGATACGGCTGGGATATGGCTCTTTACAAATGGATACGACTCTATTTTGCCCTAAATGCAGAAGAAACAAAAGAGAGAGCAAGAAGAGAACCTAGTCACTGCTTCGATCCTCTGTTTGACCACTTCGATCTTGCACCCTTTGACTTCCCCTTCGACTTTGACTAGCGTGGCCCTTTCGACTTCGACGAGCACCACCGCAGACGAGCTTCTATCTATCTTCGCTGGCTTTTTCTTCGATGAGCTTCGAACTATCTTCTCTCTCTCTCTCAAAAGCTATTTAATTAATATATATGTCATATATCAAAAAAAAAAACTATTCTAAATCATATTTATTTATAATATGTACATGTCAATTAAATTTAAAAATATTATCAATAAAAATAATACATAAGATTAAAAATAATAAATATATTTTAAAAATAACTATTTAACTCATCTTCATATAGAAAATATATTTAAAAAATTACTATTTAACATATTCTCGTACCCGTATCCAAATTTGGATCCATCTCCATGTATCCTCAATTTTTAGTTTTAAAGTGTCCGACCCTTAGATACACGCCCGCAAGCTCGAAGAAGCTACTAAACCCAAACACTAAATTAGGGCTGTTCATGCGGTCCAAACATTGAATTGGGGTTGCTCGTAGGTCGGACCGTGACTCAAACTAACCCTATTAGATTGGAGATATCTGCGACAGGCGTCAACGACAGTTCTATTCAAAGCCAATTGCCTCTCTCATTCGGTCTCTTGTTCGGTCGGGTAGGTTTTGAACAGTTTCGATTGACCCATTTTCCTTTTTCCCTTCCATTT